CGGGCCCAGAGCCGTCCCGCCCCGGCACCTCGCTGCCCTGCCGATGGCCTGAGCCGGGAGCGGTGCCGCGCCCAGTGTCCTCCTGGATCTGCCGTTGGGGGGGAGGGGGGAATGCCGTTTGTACTTAAAACTGCCCATCGACAGACACTTAGCCTCAACCTGTTAGGCAGGATGGCCGTAATGTATTTACGCACTATCGAGCTGCTTTTTCACGCTCAAAAGCAGTTGCAGTAGTTCGTGCTGCTTTACCAAGTGTTGCTCTGTGCGTCTCAGTAGGTCGGTACCTAAGCTGAGCTGAACGTGTAGAGCAGTAGCTACAGCTCGAGCAGCGTGCTGCTTGTCTTTGCGACGGCTCTCTGAATCTCGTGGTGTTTACGTTACTGCGTGTCTTCTTTTAGGGTCTTGTTCTGGGAACCTACTCAAGCGAAAAGGATGAAGGTGCTGCCCAGTTCACTAGTGCTGGAGACGCGTTCGACAGGCTTGTGTCTGGGAAGCTGAGAGAACTTCTCTCTCTGTAAGTGTGCGATGAGCTTCCAAAACGGACTAAAGTACTGACAAACACCAGTAAGAACGACCTTTCCCATCATTATTAGTATTCGTATCCGTACCACTTCTCGGGCTGGTATTTGCTCTGCCAGGCCAAGGTGTTTGGAGAGGAGCTCTGGTGGGAAAACCAAGCGCTGAAGAAGCAGATGCAAAACGTCCCTGGGAACTGCCCTTGGCTGTGAATCGGCACTCTGCCGAGTGTTCCAGCAGAGTGCTGAGGAGCACTGTGCGGTTATGAAGGTAGTAACACAAGGTTTATCAGCAGCGACGGCTTCTTTACCAAAAGAATCTTTTTGTGTCCTAGGTGTGGGCCACCTTTGAAGAAAGGCAAAACACGCATATTCCATGGTTTGCATCAGGTATGAGTTTTGGATTTTTGTGTGCATACTGATTAATGTGTGAGATTTACCCTTGAGTCGTAATTTAAGCCGAGTTCACTGCTGTGCTTGTGTAAGTGCTCTGCTTTTTTCCCTCCCCCCTAACGATGTGGTTCTCGCTGAAACCTCCTGTTCTGCACTCCCCGTGTTTGCGTGGCCATTTGCACGATCCCCTACTCCCTCTGCTGTGCTGTAAACTGGGCAGTTGTCAACAAGTCTGCTCCCAGGATGGTGAGCTCTGAGCAACTGAATGAGGTGAAGCACAGGAGTTTTGGATCAGACTTCCACTGTGCTTTCTGCGCTCAGGAGCGAGTGCATGAGTGTGTACCGGTACGTGCAAAGACTTTCCAGATAACCCAGTGCTAACACAAGATAGTCCCATTGTAGGCTTTAACGAGAGGTTCTACAGTCATGCATTGGAATCCTCTGAAAACAGGAAGTGGGACTGTTCTTCAAGCAGGACTTGGCACAGATGTGATATATCACAAGGGTATGAGATGGGGATTCACCTCCTTGAAGCTAGGCTTTGGTGCTGTTTGAGAAGCCCTAATACATGTAATGCATCTCCATGGGGCTGGCAAACACGGTAGGCCTGTGCCTTGGAGTAGTAGCTAGAGGCTAGGCAGACATGTAATGTGACACTAGGTGTCCCTGTACAAGTAACCAAGTCTTAAATGAGGGCTATTTACATGATTTTACATAAATCATTATGTAGTGAGTATTACCTACCGTGTGTAAATTCCTGTGTGGAGACCCCAGGCAGGTGACACTGGACTTGGTAGAAAAGTGCTCAGAAATGCTCAGAAATATCATGGATGCTGAGGCTGCTGAAGGTCCCGTTATCCCAGTTCTGCATTCAAGATGAAGTGAGTAGCAAATCTCTGCAAGAGAAGGCAGTAGAATTTGGCATTACACCTCATTCTAAGTGTGTAAAATAATGATAACTTAAAAAACTTTAACTTGAATCACTGATTTTTCTGGAAAGCTAACACAAGTTTCAGCATCTTGTGGACTAAAACACTTTACTACAGTATAGTGGTTTGAAAGCTGATTGTTAGAATCTGACTATTTGTGAGGGCAGGGAACAGCCTAAGATTATCTTTATTTTCATTTAGAGCAGTGGGAAGTCTGTTCACATATATATCCTTGCGTTTTGTACAAATTTGACTTCATTCTTAAAGTGCTCCTTTAATCTTTGCTATTTCGTCCTTTTTGCCTTCCACTTGGCAGCTTATAAGGCAAGGATTTATTCTGCTGTGCTAGATTGCTTGCCTGATTTCTGGAGCTGTGTACCTCTGGGCAGTTTTGCCTTGTTAACCTGGCAAATCATGCCAGCTCAGCTCCTGAGCAGGGATAATAGGCTCAGGCTTTGAAGTGCTGTTATTTCCTTGAACATAGTACTGTGCCAAAAAAGGTTACCCTCCTTCAGCTCAGTTCTGGCCTTTGTTGTAGCTGGAAAGCTGGATCTGCTGTCAAAGGACTTTTAGACTTGCCCTTAGAAGTACCAAGTTTGCTGCTATTGAGCATAAAGCCCTTTCTGCTGCAATACACATAACTGACTGCTACCTGGTTGGCAACAGAACAGCTGGTTGCATGTCCGTGGCAAATGATTGGGAGTGCAAGACAGTGCCTGTGGAAATGCGCATAACAGAGAAAGTACTGACTGTATTGTAATGCTGTGCTTGGTTTGATTTGCAAAGTAAGGTCTTTGTTAACACCTCTCTGCTGTGGCTGTAACAATGAGGAAAGCGAATCTATTTCTGTGTCGGCTTCATCTAGGACTTTCCGAGTGTGGTTGTAGTTGGCTTGGGTAAGAAGAATGCTGGAGTAAATGACCAAGAAAACTGGAATGAAGGCAAAGAAAATATTCGTGCAGCTGTTGCAGGTTAACCATTTCTAAATTTTCTTAATTTTCTCTATAAAACTGTTGCAATGGTGCAGCATGTGCCACTTTTGATCCTAGATGTGATTGTTTTGAAATGCAAAACCTACTGAGTGGCTTGGTAAATGCATTTACTTGACACTGGCGTTTGTGAAGTGTTTCCTTAGCAAGGAAGGAGTCATAGGGCATGTAAATCCATCTACAGACAGGTAACTCCAGTTACACTGTTTAGGAAAGCTCTTCTATGTAAGTGATACTGAAAAGGAACCTATTTAATTACTACTGTTTTGAAGCCTGCGAGCATCACTGATTCACTTTATGCTCATGCTGTATTTAAGTGTGCACATACATTTATTTTTGCCTCTTAGGTTGTAACTGAGATACTTGTGTTACAAACTGGTGTCTTTTACAACATGGGTAGTACGGTTTGGTGTGTTCTCTGTTGTAGGCAGAGGAGGCCTCTCTGCCTTAATCAAGGACGACTCCTGCATATAAGTGTGTGTAACACAAGAATAAAAACAGTTCGCACCATGGAGTTTATAATCTGAGACTGGAGGTCAGTCATGCACGTATGACAGATTGTTGTGGTTTAACCCCAGCCAGCAACTCATCCCCACACAGCTGCTTGCTTGTTCACCCCTGGCAGGATGGGGGGGAGAAAAGGAAAGGTAAAAGGGAGAAAACTCTTGGGTTGAGATGAAGACAGTTTCATAGATAAAGCAAAACCAGGAATTCATTGACCGCTTCCCATGGGCAGGCAGGTGTTTAGCCATCCCCAGGAAAGCAGAGCTCCATCACGTGTAACAGTTACTAAGGAGACAAATGCCATCATACTGAAGGTCCCCCCCTTCCTCCTCCTTCCCCCAGCTTTACGTGCTGAACATGACATCATGTGGTCTGGAATATCCCTTTGGACAGTTGGGGTCAGCTGTCCTGGCTGTGTCCCCTCCCAACTCCTTGTGCATCCCCAGCCCACTCACTGGTGGGGTGGTGTGAGAGGCAGAAAAGGCCTTGACTCTGTGTCAGCACTGCTCAGCAGTAACGAACACACTCCTGTGTTATAAACACTGTTTCCAGCACAAATCCAAAACACAGCCCCATTCCAGCTGCTGTGAAGAAAACTAACTCTACCCCAGCCCAACCCAGCACACAGCTGTATGTCCGAAGTGCTAGCCCATGTGGTCTCACTAGCTACAAAACATTAAATTATTTGAGTACAAAATAGAATTTATGGAATATATTTGTTATATTGCATCACCTGTAGATGGTGATATGCCATGCATTATGACTACGATAGAGCGTTTCTTTGATACAGAGTGAGCTTAAAGGAATCAGAACAACTGTGAGCTTTCCTTTTTATTCTTGTGAAATGTCTTAATCATTACAATTCAGTTTAGTCATAATTTGTCAGCATACAGTCATGACCATTTTTAATTATTCTACTGTATGATGCTTTTAATTGATTTACTTATAAACTTGGGTATCTTGAGTTAAAATTCTTTTTTCCTTGGGATGTCACATTGATCGCCTCAGGCACCTGTTTTGCTGTTCTGTGCAATACTCAGCCTACTAGTTTTGTACTGTATTTTTCAGTTGGTTGTAGACAGATCCAAGATCTGGAGATCCCTTGTGTTGAAGTAGACCCCTGCGGAGATGCTCAAGCGGCTGCAGAAGGTGCTGTCCTTGGATTGCATGAATACAATGAGCTGAAGCAAAAAAAGAAACCTGTAGTTACTCCTCAGCTTCATAGAAGGTGATGGCAAAAGGGAAGCTTGCCTATTAATTCATCTCTTGATTTCTTTATAAAACTGTGGGCATGCTTGTGCATGAGAAAAACAAAGCTGAGATAATAAGGCTGGCAGCAATATCCCTCTGAACTCTTCCTATTCCTTTGAATTTCCTGAAGTATTTTACATCTCATGGGTATTTATAGTGTTTGCTCCATGTGTTTTGTTAGTATGCCATGTTCTGAGATTAAGGGTAAATAAATGCTGCCTTATAGATAAAAAGGCCCAGGATAGAAGTGTAAATTACTTGAAGCATAGTTGTGATGTAAAAGGACTTTTGTTGATACTGCATGCCAGAATTGTGGAGCAGAGGCATTTCAGATTCCTATGTGAATAAATCCTTTAGAGAATCGGGAAGTGCTTATTAACACCAGACCATCCCATGATGGAGACGTTTTATGTAGTTCACTTGTTACGTTTTCTTTCACAGTAGATGATGCAAGAGGAGAAGCTTGGGGGGGTTCTGCCCTCTAAACAGACATCACTTACTTCAGAGCAGAAACTAATATCAGAGCTTTTGGTTCCAAACCAAAGTTTTATTAATCCTCTTTTTACTGTATAAGAGTGGATTTTGAAACTTGTTTCTCTCCTGCAGAGTAGTGGTATTTCCCATATGTCCCTCATACAGGAACAAGTACTTCCTTATGTGTAAGCTAGTGAAATAAAATAAAAACCTCTCAATTTGAGCATGTCTTGGTAAGCTACGTTCAGCACTTCTTCCATTTTCTAACACAGCACGTAGTTTCAGAGCCAACCATATTTGTATTAAACAAACATTTCCTGAAAATATAGATGGTCCTGTGACCATTTATGATGCTGGAAGTGGTTTTTTTTTATATATATAATAATTTGGGTTGGAAAGAACCTCTGGAGGTCATCTAGTCCAGCTCCAACTGGGATTAGGAATAACCTGGAAGTTACATAAAACTTCAAAGCTATATTAGGTTGATCAGGTCTTTGTCTAGTCCAGTTTTGACTATCTCCTGAGATGGAAATATCACAACCTCAAATGTTCTAGTGCATTAACAACACTCATGGTGAATTCTTCTTCACATCCTACTGCAGTTTCCCTTGTTGAATCTTGAGACCATTGTCTCACACTCTTACTGTGTAGCTCTGAGATGCGTCCAACCTCATCTTCTATATAAACCCTATTTAAGGGTGGAGGAAAGACTGCAATTAGATCTTTCCTATTTTTTTTCCTCTAGGTGAAACAAACCCAATTCTTAGTTTCTTCTCATATGCCATGTGCTTTAGCTCCCTACCTCTCTTAGGGGCCCTCCTTTGAACTTCTCCAGTGTAGCAGTGTTTGTTTTGTATTCAGGAACTCAAAAGTGGATGTAGCCTGATGCAGCCTCACAAAAGCCAAGGAGGTAAATAATTATTTCCCTTAACATGCTGACTGTGCTCTGATCTAACCCAGTACGCGATTGGCCTTTGTCGTCGCAGTAACACGCTGCTTAGTCCTGTTCAACCTGTGTGCCAGGATCCCCAGGCTCTGTTCTGCAATGCTGCTTTCTGCCTAGTCAGAGTCTAGCCTGGCTATTGCGTGAAGCTGTTCAGTACCAGGTACGGGACTTTATGCCAGTCTTTGTTAAACTTCCTGGTGTTCCCTTGGTGCATTCCTCTGGCTTGTCAAGGCTGCTGTGAATGGTGGCCCCCACCCTCCCTGTTTCAGCTGCTCCCTGCAATGCGAACTTCTGAGGGTACATTTCCTAGTCCAGGTGGCTGATGCGGATATCAGCCTCTGTATCACTCCTTGAGGAATGCCACACATAACTAACTGCCAGCTGGACTGTTCAGCTGTTGTCTGCTGTCTTCTGAGCCCAGCAGTTCTTACAGTTTTTCACCAATTTTGTAGTCTAACCCTCCAGTTGCTATTTTGTCAGTCTGTAAGGATTCTACATGAAAACCTTGCTAAAGCCAGGATAAATAACATCCACTGTGGTCCTCTGTGCCAACCCTCTCCTTATGATAGTCAGATAAGTTGATCAGGTATGTTTTGCCTCAAATCTGTAATGACTGTTCCCAGAGACCATCTTGTCCTTCATGTTCCTGGAAAAGGCTTCCATAAACTTTTATTAGATTAGTCTAGGATAACTGACTTGTAGTTCCCTATATTGTCCTTGCCATTCTGAAGGACAGGGACTTGTCCTTTGCCAGTCACCAGGGACCACATTCGGTTACCATGACCTTTCAGACTGAAAGAGACCAAGCTTGCAGTGATGCCAGCTAGCTCCCTTAGAACCCTTGGATAAATCCTGCTTGCTGCCAAGGGTTTCTCTATGTCCAGCTTCCTTAAGCAGTCCTAAATCTATCTTCCTCTGCCATGGGTAGTACTTTTCTTCCCCAAACTCTGTCACTAAGCACAAAGAACTGGGGAATCTGGAAGCAGACCTTAGTAAGTATTAAGGCTGGTGCAAAGCTGCATTGAGGACTTAGTATTCTCAGTGCTCATTTAGCAACGGAACAGTGTTATTCTTGACCTTCCTTTTGCTGGTGTTGAAGGACCTGTTGAAGTCCTCTTGGTGCCTTTCCCACTTCTTGCCAGTTTCAGTGTCAGCTGAGGTTTCGCTTCTTAATTCCATCCCTCTGTATCCAGGCAATGTTCCTATATTCCTCCTATATTGCTTCTTCACTGTGTTGCTCTTCTGAGAAGTGGAGTCCAGTTTAATGCCCTGCTTTGTGAAATCTTTTAAAGCCAGTAAGTCTGTCAGTTCTGTCTCAGCAAAATGAAAGGTTTTGTACAGGTAGTGTTGTGAAGTAACCAGTAAGATGTCCCCGTTTCCTCTGCAGGCACCTCTTACAAATGACAGAGCAAACTTTCTTGTGAAGTAACCAGTAAGATGTCCCTGTTTCCTCTGCAGGCACCTCTTAGAAAGTTTGCTCTGTCATTTGTTAGTGAAATGCTTTGAGTGCACTGTGAGATGAAATCCAAGTTCTACTCTTACCACATAATCATATTTCAATAAAGTGAAAAATAATTGGATGCTTTATATGGTAAATAAAAACTTTCAGTGCTGTTATAACTGATACAATTACAAATTTTGGAAGGGACGTTAAACCTTATGCTTAAGGATCTAAGCTGATCTCTGACTAGTAAGGTTTAGGACAAGACCTAATGTATTAGATAACTTTACATCTGTTTGCTCTAGGATTCTTCTAGCTTTCTGTGAAGCATTTGGCACTGACTAGAGTCAGAGATGAGCTACTAGACTAGATGCACCTTGCATATCATCCTAAATTCCTCGTAGTAAGATTGCTATGACATTCTTGATTGGCTCAAATTCATGATACTGCATTTTCAAACAGGAGAGAACAGATGGATGCTGACAGTATCTTACTTTTGTAAATGTTTATGATTCTGATTATTGCACAATGTTGTTTTAGTGATGAAGGTGAAGCCTGGCAAAGAGGTGTTATCTATGCTGAGGGTCAGAACCTCGCTCGGTACCTTATGGAGGCTCCAGCTAATTATATAACTCCACTCAAATTTGCCGAACATATTGAACAGAAGCTCAGAAGTTTCAGCAATGTGAAGGTCCATATAAGGTAAATTCCATTAAAATGATTTTTCTATAGGGTAGGGGACCCTCCATGCTGTTCAGTATGCAGCGTGCTCTCATTTTCCATCTACTGCTTCAAATGACAAAAGCAGGGGAAGCATTTGGAAAAAAGGTACGAGGGTGCCCCGACTGCAAGCTACTCTCAGTATTAGAAGGTGAGCTTCTAATACTAATACTACTGTGACACAGTAAAATGATTAACTTGCAGTTAGTCATGCATGCAAGCACTGCTTCATTCACACGTGTTGTGAAAAGAAGCCTGATGAAGAATCAGTGAATAGAGGGCAAATACTAGGTACCTTTTTTCTAATACCGCTTGATTTCTTTCTAAGTGGGTTTTATACGTCCATTTGCTTTTTTGTTTGGATGTGGTAATTAAACGTCCTCTATTTATTGCTGTTGTTAGTTTTTGTGGGGTTTTTTAGCTTTCAAAAAGGGATGCAAAAGCCCTTGTAATTTAATTAATGCTTCTTGTCTCTGAATTTCTAGTTACTGCTCTTGGGTGGAAATGGGCTACCTGGTTGTGCAGGTGTTGGGGTCTGTTTTGTTGAAAAGCAAAAGGCTGAGGGAAATCAACTTGGCCTATAGTTAACCATCTTGAGAGCAGAAGGCTGAACTGTAACCTGCTGCGACATTGTTACATCATATGCCTTGAGAGGCTACAGCCTCATGGACAAGTCAAAGTGTAATGTTTCTGACACAGAACGTGTAGACAAGCGGTTGGTTGTTGCATTCGTTTGGTTGGTTGTTGCGCCTTGTTCAAAAACAAGGAAACAAAACAAGCAGCAACTTTGAGGAAGTATCTTTCTGTTTCACAAAAAAAAGTAGTGATGCTTGCATGTAAATGACAGCTTACAAACTAACTAAAATGAAATTAATGTCTTGTGTACAAACCTTCAAGAACTATGACCTCTTAAACACAAACAGACAAAATCATGTTGGTCAAAGTGTCCGATGACCAAAAAAAAAATTAATATACATTTCTATTGCAGACCAGAGTCTTGGATAGCAACACAGCAGATGGGAGCATTCCTGAGTGTAGCTAAGGGTTCAGCCGAGCCTCCCATCTTTCTGGAGATTCACTACTATGGTGGTGCTAATACAAATGACTCCCCGTTGGTATTTGTAGGAAAAGGAGTTACATTTGACAGGTATGTCTGCTAGAATTTTTGACTAGAAGGGAGAAGAATGCCTTCCTGGTATTCATGTTCAACAGGGAGAAGATTTTCCTTTGCTCAGCACATCTTCCAATGCCATTCCAGTGGACTTGCCTTATATAGTAGACTGTGCTGCCTTTCCTGGGGGTAAGGCAAGCTTGAGTGGTTGGACAAAGTAGGAATTGATTCCCCTCATCTTGTAAGGGGGAAAGAAAACAAATAACGTGCTATGTTTTCTTTTTTGGCCTAAGCAAACCTCTGGATGAAGAATTTATGCGTTTGGAATTGCAGTCTGTCACTGGACATGTAGACCATGCTTAAGGAGAGAGAAAATAGTTAATTCTTTGCAGCAGTTCCTTATAACTGCTTTTCATGTCACATAACTACTGAAGAATTTATCAGTCTGTTCCATTTCCATATGCTGATTTTACCAAGTGCACTATTTTGCTCTTGTTTTGTGCTCTTCTGCTATTATAAAGACCTTGAGTCAGTCTGCTGCAGATTACCTGGATTTTTATGGTGTCCTAACTCTGAGGAAATAACTCGGGGACATACTTTATGTGAAATGAAACCCCAGACACTTGCTTTCAGTATGCTTTCTAGGGTGTTGCAGGAATATTTGAAAACACCAAGTGTAGCATTTACTGATACTTGGTGCTAAAAAACTGATGGACAGAATATTGTCATCGTATGCAACATCGAACTCCTACATGTTGGATGATACTTGTGCTGTTTGTTCCAGTGGTGGCATTTCACTGAAGCCGTCGTCAGGTATGGATGCGATGAGAGCAGATATGGGAGGGGCAGCAACTATCTGTTCAGCCATTGTGACAGCAGCAGCTTTAAATCTACCTCTTAACATAATTGGTAAGTGTGTTTGTGTGAGAATCCAAAAAATCGTAGCTTCACAAGATTTACCTTTAGACGGTAATTTTCTAGTAGCAGCAGTGGTAATGGTCTTACAGAAGCGTCATGGATTCTTGAAGACTCAGTTGTCTCATTCCCTTGCTCAGCCTCTCTTTCATTTCTTACTGGCTTATCAAAAAATGACTAGCTTTGCTTAAGTAAAATATGGCAACACCAAATTAAAACTCTGAAGGCACAATTTTTAGATCTTAGGAGATAATGACTGTCAAACTTATTTTCAAGGAGTTTTTCAGAATTTCTGGTCCTTCATTACAAGAAGGAATGGGTATCTGGCAAAGCAATTAAAAAACTACGCGAGTGTGGCCACAGCTGAAGAAGAGGGATGAGCTCTGGTTTCCTTAGGTGAATATCTCAGCAGAAATCTAAAACAAACCAACCAAACTAGTCTGCTGATACTGTTTTTAAGTACAAGCGATGCTTATTTTTTCTGCAGAAATGTGGCACAGCTAAAATTAAATGAGCTGATTCAGGAACCGTGGCAAAACTAGTTGGTGATGACATGCAATCCATTTCAGGATGAGAACTGTGACTTTCAGGAAACTCGTATTTTAGTCACTTCTTTGCTTCAACCAGGAGAGGGCAGTGAAACTCGCATCCCGGTGACATTCCTCACTTAAAAGTATGCGCTGGGAAGGGGTAAATCAGTGGAGCAAAAGCCTGTGTAGATAATTCCACTGAAAAGTGATGGTCCACAATTCGTTTATGCCTTGTGGCAGGAGCAGATTTCCATAGGAATGCTGGAATGCCTTTCATCCCATTAGCCCATTCACAGTGGGAGCTTTGATGCTGACCCTCACTCTTGTTCACCTCTATTTGCTGCTCTTATGGTTGGAGTTTTAGGGTGCATCCTTGGACCCCTCTTGACACTGCATGATGTTCATTTACAGTGAGCAGAGCTTGAATGGCTCAGAGTGTTCATTTGAGGCGGTTTTAATTTCAGAAAGAAGGAAATCCCTTTACATGTGACTATTTATATATGGAAGACATAAGATGATATTTGTTGCTCCTCTGATCTCACTTGTTTGGGTGTAAAGTAGAAACAAATCCTAATGGTAAAATGGTGTAGGTGAGAGGATGTGCTGCTGCAACATGCAGAGGAATTTCCCTAATTGGAAACTGGGCCGTGTGTCTTTCAGTAACCATGAAGACTTGGGTTTTGAGCCTAAATTCAATGTAAGAATAATATTGTTTTCTTAAGGAGATGTTTGGTTTTTTCATAAGTGTTTTTTCTATATCTTTTCTGAGAAAGAAACTAGTAATGCACTCGTCTTTTTCTCTCTGAGGTTTGGCACCCCTCTGTGAAAATATGCCCAGCGGTAAGGCAAACAAGCCTGGGGATGTAGTTAGAGCCAAGAACGGAAAAACAATACAGGTATGCACACAAGACTTGGATTTTGAATATCTTTAGTGAACTGGTTTAATCAATCAAGTTTTATGACTGCAGTCAGAGCACGTGTTTGAAAAGAACTTCTAAAAACATAAGCAGTGCAAATGTAGAGTTTTTAAAAGTGTGAGAAGCAGGTTATTAATTAGAAATACGTATGACAGGATTCTTTCAAATATAAATATAGATTGAAGAGATCAAGCATTTTTTGTGAATTGCTAGGAAGAGCTGAAAAGTATGGTCGTTTACAGAACATGCCAGAAAATCTTGTTTTGGCTGAAGAAGTTGTTACAATGCCCATAAATACGGATTCTCCATCAGAGTTAATAACGTATTAATTGCTTCCAGCAGACCCTTCAGGACACTTCCCCGCTATCTGAAGTAATGCGTAAGCGTATTAGTTTCCTGGCATAGTCAAGGTCTTTGCCCTGCCAAGCTGTTCTGTACAATCAGAACTCTGAGTCACAGGGGCTGCTGGTTAAAAGGAGCTTGCCAAAGCAGTACCCAGAATACAGATTTCATATTTATTTCATCCAAACTCTCCCAGACTCATCTAACAGATTAAATGGTACTGGAAGTCATTGTCCTGTAGACTGCTGATTTCCTGTGGAAGTACATGGCTTGACCAATATTTCTGTGATTCAGCCACCTTTGACTTGCTGAACTTTCCAGTTTCTTGAGGCTCTTCTCCCAAACTGAGTTCAGTTGCCCACTGCTTTGGGGGAATAGACTGTGCACGTATTCCCCCAGCAAGGAGAAATTTGCCAGAAAGTGCTAGTAGCTCACTCAGAGCCTGTCATGTGACTAATCTTGCAGAACTCGCCATGGATTTTCCCTGAAAAGGGGAAAGGAGAGAAGGGGCTACTGATTTTATTTTTATTTAGAGGGAAAAAGTTTCAAGATCCAAAAAGAAAGCAGTGTAACAAGGAACTGTTGCCAGGCTCAGTGCTTCTCTGTGGTACCCTCTCCTCATTTGTGGTTTCCACTGGGCAGATCCCTCCTCTGTGGAGGAGCCAGCAGCACAGAGGCCCAGCATGCGGAGGAGGTTGCAGTGCTGAAAGATGACTTGACCTCAGCCACAGATATGCTTTTATTTTATAAACATAACTGTGTTTCAATACTATCTTTATTTTCTTTTTAAAAATTATTTTGAGTAAATTTTGATTACCTGTAGTTCCTAGGGTCTGTGACAGTGCATTTACACATTATATTAAATTGCTATCAGATTGTAAGAAATAAGCCAGTGAAAGGGATATTTCCAGTAGTTAATCTGTTTTTGCTGATTTTGCACCTGAAGGTAGATAACACCGATGCGGAAGGAAGACTGCTGTTAGCTGACGCGCTCTGTTACGCCCACGGTTTTAATGCAAGGGCTATTGTGAACGCTGCAACATTAACAGGTAAGCCATCTCCCTTCCCTGCTAGTTCTGCAAGTCAGTTCCTTGTTACTGTCATCGACTGAGCTGTGGGTGAGTTGCACTGTGCATATAAAGCCAACCTGAATGTGAAAGCAGCCCAGATGGTTTTACATGCTGTAGGACAACAGCTATCACAGTTCATGCTCTAACAACTCGTGCAGCTGCTCCGGACCTCTTGGACTGGGGAGGCTGCTGGCATGCAGGGTACACCCTCAGCAATGGAGGTGAAGTTGTGCCAGCCCAGCTGGGTGGGAAAACCTATGGAGACTTTATTTCTACACAGTGTTTCCCAGTGCTTCCATTTCTGAGCTGAGCCCTCCCAGCTTCTGGGGGTGTGTGATGTAGTGATTGTAGAAGAATCCTGCCAGATCCATATGGCACTGGCCACACTGGAGCCAAAATAGCATCTTTGAGAACAGCTTCCTGAGTGCCTGAGCCCTGACCTAATCGACACCAGTTCTTCCATTATGAGAGGTATCTCAGGTCTCCATGATTCTAGGTCATGGGAGAGTCACTGTTATCTTCCCAAGAATTCGTTTGACTTGAAGCATCTCTTAGTTTATGTGCAGTTTGCATACTTTCAGGCATAACAAAATGCACTGAAATTGTTTCATCTCTACAGCTGTATATGAAGGAGGCTATAATGTTAAATTTAAAGCCAGCATTGTGTATGCATCTCATGAACTGCAGTAACAAGCTGTCACGGGAGAGGGGACTGTAGCTGGAATGAGAGCAAACATGGAAGAGTAGCTCAGACATGAGTCCACTGTGTTGCTTAATGAATATCCTGAGCAAAATGATTACCTCTCCATATATTCTGTACTAGTGCTTTAAATTATGTTCCATCAGTTTACCAGTTCACATGCTGGGGAAAATTTCAGCAGACAGAAGGGAAGTCAATTTTAAGATCGTTGGTTTGTGCAAAAGTGTTCCTCTGTAAAGGTCATGATAGAAGGAGTTTATTCCCACTATAGATTATTCTGTGTTTGAGATCCTTGGGCACCAACCAGGAAGGAGGAGAGCTCCTGTAGAAACTTCTTTAGCATATCTTTTTGTTAAAATACTTTCTTCCTTTTTTTTTTTTTTTTTTTAAATCTCACTAAAGATTAAATGTTGGCATTAGAGAAGCAGTCCTGTGGCATCAAATAAATACATATGTAATCCCTCTGGTTTAGGCATGGTTTATTATTTTGATAAGGATTATTTTCATTCAAAGTAAATTCACCTATGCCATGCAGAAATCTGTGAAAGTGAAATTCACTAAAGGTAAAGTATCAGCTCGAAGATTGTAGAGATCTGTAAGTTGGAAAAAGTCCATCCATTCATTCATATTTTCTATATGGAAACAATAAGACTTAGATGTTTGAGAAGACACTGTTACTGCTGAATACATCATGTTAGAAATACTGCTAAGAAACATCAAGCTGAGAACAGAAAATCTAGTTTCATGAAATACAGAATATAATTTTTATGAAATCTGGTCCTACTAGATATATAAGTATTTCAACAATGTTTAGTATTTTAAAAATGCAGCGATACCAAATTTTTTAGATTTTGCTGACTTAAGAAATTATTGATAACGGGACTTAAAAAATGGAAAGCTCTGTGAAGAGTCAGAATGTAGAGGAATAGCTCAGGTTCTCCTTTGACTGTAGGTGCCATGGATGTTGCATTGGGGTCTGCTGCAACTGGAGTGTTCACAAACTCATCTTGGCTTTGGACGCACCTATATGAGGTAGGCCGTCTGCATTACTGAGTTTGGTATGAGAGCAGCCCTGAGGAGAAGTGTTGGAGGATGAAAGGCTGGACATGGGCTGGCAGTTTGCGCTGGCAGCCCAGAAAGCCAACCGTATCCTGGGCTGTATCCAGAGAAGTGTGGCCAGCAGGTCGAGGGAGGGGATTCTGCCCCTCTACTCTGCTCTGGCGAGACCCCACCTGGAGTGCTGCATCCAGCTCTGGTGCCCTCAACATCAGAAGGATATTGACCAGTTGGAGCGAGTCCAGAGGAGGCCACGAAGATGATCAGAGGGCTGGAGCACCTCTGCTACGGGGACAGGCTGAGAGAGTTGGGCTTGTTCAGCCTGGAGAAGAGAAGGCTCCGGGGAGACCTTATTGCACCTTCCAGTACCTGAAGGGGCTACAAGGAAGCAGGAAGGGGCTTTTTATAAGGGCCTGTAGTGACAGGACAAGGGGTGATGGGTTTAAATTGAAAGAGGGTAGATTGAGATTGGATATCGGGAAGAAATTCTTCACAGAGAGGGTGGTGAGACACTGGAACAAGTTGCCCAGAGAAGCTGTGGATGCCCCATCCCTGGAAGTGCTCAAGGCCAGGCTGGATGAGGCTTTGAGCAACCTGGTCTAGTGGAGGGTGTCCCTGCCCATGGCAGGGGGGGTGGGACTAGATGATCTTTAAGGTCCCTTCCAACCCCAACCATTCTGTGATTATTATTAAATCATAGTAATAATGCAGTAGTAGCTGTCGTTATTGAAACTTTAGTCCAGTACTGAAAGTGTTCATGCAAATGTAAAAGGTACGTTACTACATCTTGAAATCTTGTAGGAATGGTGCTAGTACTGTACTTATTTGAAAATAATTTTTACTATTAATTAGTAGCTCTTCTGTGAGGTTTGATATGTGCATGCAGTTCACTGTATGATAATCTCAAGCATGTATATATGCATCAGTTCTGGACTTGTGGCAGTAATTAGTTATTGCTAAAAGGATAATTGCTCTTGCTTAACAACACTGAAACAGAAATTCAAGAGAGGCTTCATGAATGGCTGAAGTGTGATGGCTAAAGGAAGTTCCTGAAGGGAAGGATTTGTGTTCTCAGGTTAAAAAAAAAAAAAAGGGGGTGGGGGGGGTGGGAAAAGGCAGGGTCTTTAGATTTTGCCTTTTGAGTAACACTGAAGTACTTCAAAAGCAGAATTCACTGTTTTGTTTTGCAATGTATTTCTAAATACCTAATATTATACTGGGCTAAATATTTTCAGATTGATCAAAGCTGAACAAAAATAAGCATGCATGATACCAGGGCTTGTAAATGCAGTTGAAAAAAAAAACAAAACAGTTGCCAAAATTGGCCTTGTTTCTTTTTCAGGCCAGCATTTTAACAGGAGACAGAGTTTGGAGAATGCCTCTTTTTGAACATTACACAAAACAAGTAACAGACTGTCCTCTTGCAGATCTGAGTAACATTGGGAAGTACAGCAGGTAAAAGATGTACCGATACCCTTCATGTGCCCCTTTCTCTCAGTGTATTTGTTTAATGTTTGTGATGTTGGTGTTGCTTTAGAAACAATGCCATGTTTCTGCTTCCCACAGAGCTGGAGGCGCATGCACAGCTGCTGCATTCCTGAAGGAATTTGTGACTGCCTCTCACTGGGCTCATTTAGATATAGCTGGTGTGATGGCGAATAAAGACGAGGTGCCCTATCTTCGAAAAGGCATGGCAGGGCGGCCTACCAGAACGCTGGTTGAGTTTGCAGCTCGATTAAGTCAAGACAGTCACAGTACCACGTAAAACACGTACTCTAAAATCATCCGTGCTGCCTTAAGGAAAAAATATTTAAAGGTAGTGTTCATCAATTGAGTGCCCCAAGCAAGTCTTCACTGTGGCAGTGAACTGCAAATGCGTTTTATAAATCATTACTTGGGTAAGAATTCTCACCTTCGAGACTTGTCATCCCATATTATGCAGTGTAAAATAAAAAATACTCTGAACTATTTGAGATATTTATTCCCAGAATCAGTTTAAGCATCAGCTGTACACAACGTGGGGGGTAAGGTTTTCTTGAGTATGTGGGTGATCCGGGCCCAGAGGCGGGCAGCTTTTTGGGGGAGGGGGTCGAATGCTGGGGTGTGGTGCTGCACTGGTGCTTACCCAGGCCGGAGTCTGCGAGGCGCGGGAGGGCCCGAGCTGGGCAGCCGGCGGGTCCCGCTGGGACGGATGGATGGCTCTGCTTCCCTGCTTCTCTTCCCCGCCTACCGGGGGGTGTGCCCGGCAGCTCGGGCT